GGTTTAACCAAGTTACAAGGAAGAAATTATTATGTGCTGGCGACGAATCAGTCAAGGGTGTAAATTGGAGGGTCATTTCAATTTTTGAGAACCCAGACCTAAATATCTCTTTTAAAAAATCAATGGGTATAATTTAAACCTTGTATTACAGTTTGTCAAGGTCGATTAAAGAAATAATTAATTTTTTGTGACGATCCGGAGTAGGGTATACATCTTAGGAACATTGAAGGAAAACGTCCCAGACCACATATTTCGAAAACGGATCAACTGATCTGAATGAAACATTCGGAAAAAATTTAACCAAGTTACAAGGAAAGTATTATGTGTTGGCGATGAATCAGTCAAGCGTGTAAACTGGATGGTCATTGAAACTTTTAGATCCAGACGTAAATATCTATAAAAAGTTTTCAATTTGTGTATTAATGAAACTTTCTATAATAGTTTGTAAAGGTCCAGTAAAGAAATGACTGAATCTTTGTGATGATCCGGCGTAGGGTGTAAATATAAACGTCCCCGACCAGATATTTCAAAAACGGGTCATTTGATCCGAATGAAACTTTCGGGAAAGTTTAACACATATTTTATTTCTTTAGGCACGAGCGCCAAGGATATGCCAATAAGTGAACTCAATCACTGTCCTACGTGGCATATCCATTTGACAACAGGGGAATGGATCAGTACATCGGGGTAACCCCCCTACTGTTCTCGAATGATGTACTGGGTTCTTTATAAGGTGCACACGAGCCAATTGCGTACACTGGGCCTACGGTTTAAAGTCCTTATCCGAGAAGACTTGTTTCACCACAGGAACCATTGGCGAGTGAGCTGTTCGAACCAGCGCCGATATTAGAGCTAAAGGTTACGGTGCCCCTGAATTAACCACTCGGCCAATCAACACAAGCTACAAGGAACATATTATTATTTGTAGGGGACGATCTAGGTTAGGGTGTAAATTTGAGGGTCATTTAAATTGCTTACGTTCCAGTTGTAGATTGATAAAAATGACACTTTGCAGAATAGTTTTTCGTGGTGAAATGAAGAAATGATCCAATTTTGGTGACGATCCGCAGTAGGGGTATGAGGACCATTTAAAGATTTTTTTGTGGCAGTGGATTAAAATATTTATACGCAATTTGCATTTTCTAAAGCGCTTAAACCAGTTACAGCTAGGTTAAACTCAAAACTACCGTGATATGCATGAACAATTATTGCTTTCAGTCATTGAATTGCTATGAACTAAAAATGCGCTGGCCTATGCAAGGTCGGCTTATATAGCGCGCAATGGTTATGAGTCACAACGTACCTCGCTATTACCATTGCAGCTAACGTCGCGGAGAACTTGGCTTTCGTTGTTTTTTTTTTTTTTTTCCACTTCATTATTATTATTTTGGTTTTCCGTGTTTTTTTTTCTACTTTATACTTTTTAAACTTTTCTTTTTGTTGCAATTTCAACTTGATTTCTCATTAAAGTAATGTGGGGAAAGCCCTATGTTCTGTTGTACAATTTTTGTTGTTGTACCTAATATTAAATATATTTGGAAGGTAAACTTCTTAACCAAACCGTTACATCTAAACTCCAGTGATTGATTATTGATTTATTGATTTATTGGTTGATTGCTTGTCAACTTGGGAGACACAGTAGAACTACAAACTTTAATTA